GGATGACATGGAGGACACTGGGGGAGATGTTGCAGTTGAGGGTCTTCTAGACCCAGGGGGAGGGGGAGCAATCAATGTAGGATGTTGACAAACATTATAAATGAGGTCTGCACCTCCAAGGATATCAAAAAGTCATAAGAGCAGAGGAACCTGCTCATGGGCAATTTTGTTCAAGATAGTTCTGGCAGGGGATAGAAGGGGATTTTGTTGGTTTATGTAGCAAGAGAGTTCTTCAAGCCAAAGGGCTTGGATAGTGGTGTGATAAATGAGGTTGAGAGGGGAGTCCTTGTTGACCTCATGGTAGACAGTGCCAATGATGGAGGGGTCAGTGATGAAGAGGCAGTATGAACTTATCATCTGATCACTAGTGGGTTGGCATTGGTGATGAGCAAACAGGGTGTGGCAACACAAGGGCTTGTGAGGGTAAGTATAATGACAAGGAGGCATGTTTAAAGTGATAGTTCTGATAGTATGGGAGGAATGTTGAGCAGGTGGTTTCTGGAGAGGGAAGTCCTTGGGGAAGCATTTTTTATATGCAGAGAGTATATCATCCACATGTTAGATCTAGGCATGATTCTTTCTGCCATGAGTTTTTGGAAGAAGGGTAACCTTCCATTTGATTAAAACGGCATGTCCATGGCCAGACCTTTTATGGCTGACTATCACCTCAATTTCATATTCCTCTTCCTCATTGACAAGGTCAGGTGGTGGGGCTGGGAAGTTTGGTCCATGGATGTCATTTTTGCGATAGGGTGATAAGAGAGAGGCATGGAAGATATTGTGGATCTTCCATCATGTGGGAATCATGAGGTGGTACATGATTGGAGACAGGACATTGGAAATAGTAAAGGGCCCTTCTCTTTTCAGGGCAAGTTTTCTGTTTTCATAGGAACATTTCAAGTTCTGAGCTTCTAGCCAAACTTTATCACCTTTTTGGAATGGGGTGAAGTGTCATAACCATGTGTTGACCCTGGCTGGACTTGGCCTTGCACTTGTTCAGTCTGGCCTCAGTCTCATCAAACACCTACCTCCAAATGGTCTAGCATGGTTGACACTGCTTTGCAGTGTGTGTCATTTCAGTTGGGCCTGTCCTGGCCTTGTCCCCAGTCTGCCCTGTCCCAGTCTCTGCTACCTTAGTCAGACCTTACTAATATCATTCTTACCAATCATCTTAGCAATCCTTGTAAGACCAGCATTACTGGTCTCCATACTATAGTTTGTCTCTAGTATATAAACCTGTAATTACTAGGCTTGTACTCTCCAGTCTGAAATCAATTAAGTTCTACCTAAAACCCCCACCTCAGCCTTAGACTCAGACTGTGACCCATGCAAGGGAATAGCACTGCATCATCAGTCACTAAGTCCAATCAGTCCACCCCCTGTACCTCTGCCTCTTCCCCTGACCCCAACCCTGCAGCCTCATGCCTGCTTCAGTCTCCAGTCCAGTCTCAAACCCAGACTCCCTGAACTTGACAGTATTTCAGACTCACTACTTGTGTGGGTCTAACACATCATGGCAACAAAGACTCATTTCCAACCTCCCTGTGGCTGCTCTGCCACCAGCCCCAACTCTGCCTCAGCCAGTGGAACTCACTGCAAGACAGCACTAGCTGCCTTGGGCACCACTAGGCACTCTCCAGACCCCATTAGTCCTTTCAGGGGCTTTTCAGCCCAAACATCCAATACTCCTACCCCACATTGCCCCATTGCTCCCATCCCTGGTGATGATCCTGGGAATGAAGGGCTGGATGACAATGACAACAACAACCCTGACAATGATGACCCCAGCAATGGCCCCAGTGATGACAATCCAGAGGATGAACTGGACTTCCCAGATCTGGACACTGAACCCACAGTTGTGGTCTTTGACAGTCTTGCAAAGGCCATAAGCTGCTGTCCCACAACACTTGCACTGGTCCTGAGGCCTCAAGCAGGACCAAACTGTGTGAGCCTGACACCTTTGATGGTACTGACCCCAAGAAGCTTTGTGCCTTCTTCATTCAGTGCAAGCTGAATTTTCAAGGCTGGCCTTGGGCTTTCAGGACTGACCATGCAAAAGTCATCTTCATGCAGTCCTACCTTAAGGGCATGGCCCTAGAGTGGTTTGAGCCAGACTTGCTTGGGGTCAAGGACCCCAATGACCAGCCTCTCTGGATGGACTCCTGGAGGGAGTTTGTCCTAGAACTACAAACCACCTTTGGCCCCATAACCCAGTCACTGATGCTGAGAGTCAGCTTGACCCTTTACATATGAAAGATAACCAGCACATCAACAAGTGTGTAGTTGATTTTGATTGGCTTGCTTTGTAAGTCCAAGGCTATGGTGATGGTGCACTGTGCCACCACTTCTACTCCAGGCTCCCAGACTGGATCAAGGATGAAGTGGTTGGCAAGCCCCAGACACTACATGAGCTCCACCACCTTGCCCAGGAGATAGATGCATGCTATTGAGAGTGCAAGGAAGAAATCCAATGGGCAAGTAAGCATCAGAGCTCCAACAACAACAACAACAACCAGTCCAAGACCAGTCAAGAGAAAGCCAAGACTGGCAGCAACATTAACTCTGGATCCTCCCCAAGCCAGCTTTGTCAAAGCTGGGAAATAATAACAGCAACTCATCCAAGCCTGAGCCTAGCAAGCTTGGCAAGGATGGAAAGCTCACCCTGGAAGAATGCAAGCATTGCATTGAGGGAAACCTCCACATGTTCTGCAGAGGCCCTGGTCACTTTGCTGAGAAGTGCCCAAAGAAGACCAGAAAGGCCAAGGCTCATGCTGTGGCCACCACTGAAGTTGCACCAGCCTCAGGCTCAGGTTCTACCCCTGAGACAAAAAAATAGGTAGCAGCTCCCAGACTCCACACTGCTGGTTTTCACCCAGTCCCTTTCAAGCAGCACCCCTAGTGACATAGTACTTCACCAAATACTTTTAGATTCTCTCCCACAAGCACCATACATCCCTCATCCTAGCTAACTAGTTGAATGTGTAGATGGCAATTCTTGGTAGCAAAGGCATGTAGCATATGGAGAATATAGTCTATGCATGGGAACACAGTTAGCTTGTTGCTTCTCTCCTTTGCACTCCCACTTGTGCCTCAAGGCTCAGCTGAGCCACACACCAGTCTCTCTTTTCTTCTCTCCCACCCACTGCTCCTTCTCACAGTCTGTCCAAAGCAGCCAAGCCAATGGCTCTTTGTCCAATGCCTCAAACTCAATGTCTCACTTGAAGCTGACCTGTTCAGCACCCAGCCCACCTCACAGCTCAGCTTGATGACTTGGGTCTTGGCTTCAGGCCAGAAAACCTACTAGTTTTCACCTAGTCCCTTTCAAGCAGCACCCCTAGTGACATAGTACTTCACTGAATACTTTTAGATTCTCTCCTGCAAGCACTATACATCCCTCACCCTAGCTAACTAGTTGAATGCATAGAAGGCAGACTAAGTTATTGACCCAGGTATTGCACCCAGAGGATGACTGGCTCATGTGGATTGCAACAGTGCTGTGACTCTGGAAGCCACCTTTACTGCAACTTGGACAGCAGGGCATACTCTAGATAGTCAGGCAGGCCAATTCCATGTCATGTGATTATCACTTCAGTGCAAATCAGGACATTGTTCAGATCACTACACAGTGGATTCCTCATATACTACCCAATCACATCCCATTCATGAACATAGTCACTCATGTCCATTTATAACCTCAATCACACACACCTTCATGCTGGGTCAACCATGCCCATGGTCAAGCATTGCCTGGGCAGCAAAGGACTGCCCCATAAGCCTCATGATGGCAGGTTCTCTTCCTGCAACAGCCCCTCTAGTAGTGCCAAGGTCAAAGCAGAGACAACTGGTGTCTTAGCTGAGATATATGGAATATTGGAGTCATCCACTCACACAGTAAGTTCTTTTTTTCCTTCCTAATAACTGCTCGTTGATAGGTTTTCAATCTGCAGCATGAATCAAAGAGTCAGCTGAATCATGAGGCACTTCTTCTTCTTGATGTAGCATGCACACAATGTGAAGTCTTTCATGCAGAACAAGCTCTGGTTGCATGCATCACCCACAAATACAAATTGATGGCCAAGTTGTACAATTACAAGGCAGGCAGTGGCAAGGCAAGAGTCCACAAAAAAGATATGGAGGTTGGCTCATTACATGTAACAATGAAAAAATGCAGACTGGGGGAGCCTATTTTCAACATTGGTGTTCTGGCCAGTGAGCTGCAGCCGTCTCTCAAGTCTGATGGTATGCTATGCTTGCTCTTTTCTTTTGGGCTGCTATTTTACTTATGCCAGATCTTGATAAGCACAGTTATTGAGCATGCCAGTAGTTGAATACTCATCATTTGTCTAGACTAGTACTACCCATTACTTTCCTGTACTTATCAAAAAATGCTGTATGTTATGTCTGTGTGTTGTTGCCTTCATGCATAGGAATGAAGTTAGATCTACCAAGTTCTCCACTACAGTGGGAATCTAGGTTGCTGTATTAGCTAGGTGTGTCTGTTCCCTTGTATGCTAGGTAGCTATTGGTCTTTGGATTGCTGGTATCACTGGTGTGGCTTACTCTGGTGCCATGGGTTACTTGGATGCTGGCCACTACTTTGGGCAAGTCTGGTGTAGTCTACTCTGGCACTATGAGTTGCTTGCTAGGATGCTTTACATTGCTTTGGACTAATATGGAATTGCACAAATACTATGGGCAGCTATGAGTTACTAACACATTTGTGGGTTTTGCTGATGCTCTTCATCAGGAGCACCCCCAACCCTCAGCACTCATCTTTGAGTGTTGTAGCTCACAAAAACCCACCCAAATAAGGCCCTCTGCCATCTAGGTTCCACATAGGCACACCACCACTCACTTTCATTGTCTTTTGTGTTGGTTTTGGTTGGTTTTCACCACTGAACCACACTTTGATTCACACTGCACCTTGCCCTTCAGTTCCCCATTTTCTGTTGTGCTTGGGTTTCCTGCTCCCAGTGCTCAGCCTCCAGCCACTCCTACTCTCACTTCTCAGCCTCCAACTGCTCCTGCTCTCATTTTTCAGGCTCCAGCCACTCCTGCTCTTGATGTTTGGCCTCTACCCACTCCCTTTCACACTGCTCTGCCTCCAGTTGCTCCCTCTCAAGCCTCTCTGCCTCCAGCTGTGTGGCCTCTTCCCTTGATGCCTTATGCCACTTATGCTTGGCCATCTTTTCCCAGATGTCAGCCTCCTCATCATTGCTAGTGATCTGGAGCTCAGGCATGGTGGCCCTCTGGAAACTGGATGGGTTGTTGGATGTGCATGGAGTGGATTGACAAGCAGAAGACATGATGAAGAGGATGAGAGAAAACAGGTTTCACAGAAGCACACTTGACCCCAGGGAACACATGTTCTACCAGCATGGTGACTGCCAATCTCATGTACCTTATGACCCCAGGGAACACATGTTCTACCAGCATGGTGACTGCCAATCTCATGTACCTTAGGGTGGGTCTCAGGGGCTCAACCCTAAGGGGGGGATACTGTCATATACCAAGATGCTCATACCTCAGTCCTACACCATGAACACTGAGCCAATGCCAAACACCAAACATACTCCACTCCTTACTATACTTTTCTAGTTAGCTCTTTGTACTGCCCTTGCTTGTGCTGAGGCAGTGTCTGTCATTGGCTCTCCAATCTCTGCCTCCTCTCTTAACCTTTAGTTAGTTTCTTTGCATTGCTATTTAGTCTCTCACCAGTAGCCCCAGCCTTCAGGTTGCCAGTTTTCAGTATATATACTCTACATACTCTGTACTTAGTTCTCCAGTCTGAATATCAACATAGTTCACCCCATAAGCTCCTAGCCTAAGTCTGAGTCAACTCTCAGCTTTTGCTCCTGACCCCTCTTGGTTCTCCCTGACTTCAACCTGGCTTGCACAAGGGTCTAGTGCACAAGCTAAGACCAAGGGTTGTTGCATCGGCTCTCAGCTTTTGGTCCTTGGTCCTCTGACCTTGACATGGACTTAACACAGGTGTCCAATCAGCCCTCTCAAACTGATGGCCCATTCAACTCAAGTCTTGTAATAAAGCCAGTTGCTTCCATCCACATTAAGGGTTAGGACTTGTAAGGAGTGATTATCTTTTTCTGTAGAGGGTATTGTTGCCCTGTAGAGTCTCCTTTGGAATCAGAGTGCAAGAGCATGGCTCATAACCTAACAAAGCTATGAGTTCTCAGTACACAAAGTAGCCATTATATTTGTACCTAATGAAGTTATGAGCTCTACACTACATCAGTTTGAAGTAAACAAATGGAGTGTAGCTATACTCACCTCAGTGCACAAAGTAGTCACTGAGGTGGAAAAGAATGGTGCAGAAAATTTATAATACCATAATTAGTAAGCACAGTGACATCAAAATTTAATTCTGAAGCTCAGAGAAGAACTTTGAGCACTCTGGGTGAAACTCTGAGACATTACCATAACTCCAGAACACATACTCAACATTCCTGAGTTACAGTAACATCTTGGAGTTTTGCCCAGGGCACTTGGAGTTTTTCTCTGACCTTTGGAATTAAATTCCAAAGTCACTGTACTTACTAATTACAGTACTATAAATTTTCTGAACCATTCTTTTCCACCTCAGTGACTACTTCATGCACTGAGGTGAGGACAGCTACATTCTGTTTGTTTACTCTGTACTGACAGTATGGAACTCATACCTTCATTATAGGCTTGGGATGGAATGTGATATACACAACTCCAAAGGTAATGACAGGGACAGTGGCAATGATTTGAAATACCAGCATGGCAATGACATACATATGACATGCACAGCCATGACCAGATCAAGCAGTAGCACAGGCATACACATAATAGTCTGGGGTATGGGATTGCTGGCCAGCACTGGCCAGAGCTATCCAGGGGAGGGTTGGTTTGCCAATGTATCAGCAGAATGTAGTAAATGATGAGATGTGTGTACTCACCCTCAGTAGTGGACAAGCTACTGAGGGAACTTAGGTAAAATTTACTACTTAGTGTACGCTCTAAATGCTTATGTAAGCATGCACTCACACACAGGGACTGTTCTACTCTAACACTAAATATTGACCACTGCATTATGTACTAAACTTGAAGCTAAATTCAACATTCTGATGCCCATCAGGATGTATGTGGCAAATATATATGCAGCGTTCAAGAATCTTCATTCAAGGACATCCCTAGCTTTCCAAAATCCGTGGTGTGAGGTCACATGACCGTGTCTACAAGGCATGGCGATAAAGTTCACCTTTATTTGGTTCACGCGTTGAATATAAACAGCGACATGTGACTTGCTCGTGACTTTAACCTCCTTACCCCGTGACCTGCACCAGACACGACTAGGGCTAGAGGTTGTTGGATGTGATGGAACAGCCTCGCATTGACGCTGTAGAGATGCAGAATCTCTTGAAATCGTTGCCAGGCTTATTCCAAAAGGTTCAGGCAGGCATGTTTCCCATCCCGGAATCGAATCAACAGCAGCTGCCCCATCCACCACATCAAGTATCGATCCCTCACACGACGGCTCCAGGAGTACCTGACATTAGCGATCCTGGCCCATCGTCTCACCCCAGTGGCCCACCTGACTTGGGTCAACTCTCGGCGGCCGCGGTCGCCGCCCAAGGCCCTCAATTACCCCCGTCCCCACCACCAGGAATTTCCGGCGTTCAAAACGAAGGGGACCAAGATGACAAGGCAAAATCTAATGCTTCGATGATGATGACGAGTGGTCGTACTCGGGGAGGTAGAAATCCTACAATGGGGACGGACGAATGGGCACGCCAGAGAAAAGATAACCATGTACGTCTCGAGACAATTAGCATTCTCCTACACGTACTTACTTTCTTTTTCAAACGAAGAAAGAAGTTGAGCGAAGACGAAGAGGCAATATCAACGAAGGTATCAATGAACTTGGCCGCATCGTCCCCAACAGCTCGGGCGAAAAGGCGAAGGGTGCGATCCTCGCGCGCGCGGTGCAGTACATTCACCACCTTAGGGAGAATGAAGCGCGCAATATTGAAAAATGGACACTTGAGAAGCTATTGATGGACCAGGCGATGGGTGACCTTCAAGCCCAGTTGGAAGAAATGCGGAGAATGTGGGAAGAAGAACGTATGGCTCGACAACGCACCGAAAGTGAATTGGAATTGCTCAGAGGTGTTTCGCAAGCGAACACCGCAACGGCAGGGGTTGTTCAGCAACTACGAGACCACGCGTCAGGTTCATCGCCTGGCCCACGCTCCCGCTCACCTGAGCGTCAAGAGGATGCAGATCAGGTACGAAGCGATGGAGAATTGAGACCAGATGGGGAAAAGAACGAAAGTAACACTGCTGATGGTCAATCGATTAAGCGGCCCAGAACGGAGTAACGGCCGTAAGTTTTCCGTTAGGTACCGCATGATGGACAATGATATGAGGTTTCAGTTGTTTTTTCCCCCCTTTTGTATGCTAAGTTCGTTTTACTCTCGTCAAGCCCCTGTACAGTATATCATCCAGATCCACGCCCTACTTCCGGTGATCTGTAGGCCTCTCGCGCACATAGCGACGTCCCCCTGTCTTCCGTTGCATGTACATACATTGGCAGGCTTCGGGCAGGCTTGTCTCGTATGTAAGTCTACACCTCGCTGTTTCCCTCCCTCTTCTTTCCTCCCCTCAAGGTCTCAATGTCCATGGGATATATTGTCCGTGCGGATAGCAGCACTCGTAATGCGAATGTCCGACTTCGGTAGACTCAGCTGTACATAGTCATCATCAGTAATCCAGAAGGTATTACCTTCGACTCTCCTGTAGAAAGACCAAAGGCTCTCTGGAAGACAATTGTTCTATCTTGACTGGTATTGCATAGGGTTGTTATTTTTTCACCTCACGAGATTAGTTTGGGTGCCAGCTTGTTGGTGACAATTGGGGTATACATACTGCGAGCCTGTCGACCACGCGGTACGAGGTCGAAGATGTCACCTACAATATCCTTTGCAGACCAGACTATTCCTTCAGAGGATAGAGTATATACTGCCGTACATTCTTACTGAGTGGGTGTTTGTGTCAGGTGTCCATGAGTGCTTGACATATCCATCAGACATGATCTGATATAGTTACCAGGACCCACCGATATCCCAACCCTCACCCGGACTCAGTTATGTGCTGACCGAGACAATCTTCGGACTGGGGCTGACAGGCCATACAAAATGCCGAGACATGCCGTTCTGGAATCACTTCGAACAGCCCTGGAACCACCCCCACTGAAAAAAAAAACCGAATCCATCAGGAAAACTACACACCGCTGCAGCAGTCTGCAGCAGGGAACACAGGTAGATGCAGACGCCGCAGACGTCCGACGTCGGGGTCTCATTGTCCGTGTACTCGTCTGACTGGTTTGACATGGTCTGACCTAGCATCTGGGATTCACTCAACGACAAGTCAGATGGTCTGACGATCTGACAACCCAGAATATATCGTCAACCAAAGTAGTGCATTATCTTCGCCACGCTGAGTATACGAATTCTACAGGCAAAAGGACTGCTTGTCAACCGGGGTATCGCCACCAACACATCCAAAAAGGCTATCTAGACGAAAATCAAGACAAGAGTAGTGCTGGGGCAAGAAGGTTTCAACCTTCTCGGCCGAAACGTTGAAGTTCGGTCCTTTTGACGCGATCGAGGACAAGGGCCTCGTCGCGACGAAGGAGATATCGCGGGGGGAGATTATATAGAAAGAGGATCTGTTCCTACACGCACCCGAGTGATGGGACAGGCAAGGATGGTCCTGTACGATTTACTTTTTCCCCGCAGAGAAATACAACTTGCAAGTCTCATCGAGAGCACGCGGTTCCTACTCGATGCTGAGCTTCGACGTCGTCATTGTCACATCCGGCCCGGCCATCTTTTGCAATAAGTTCTGTCACGTGCAATTGCCAGACAAGGTCCATCCACTGCTATGTCCTCCCGTAACCAGGCGTTTATTCCCTTGCTGGGCTCTGGCGCTTGCACGGAAAACCGAATGGCTCTCAGTTCGTGCGCTTGCACAGTGCACCAGTAGATTTCCACTTGCTTCTCAGGCAGAGAGCAAGCCGTTGAATCTAGACCTACAGGTCGTAAAGAGCCTCACTGTCTTGCGTACGAAAGAACGGTTCCATGTACTCATTTTTTTCTCTTGGCCTCAGAGTGTTTTAGTTAATGGGCTTGGGGTCAGTGATCAGTCAGGTGTAGAGCTTGACATAGAAACATAACAGAAAGCTTTCAAATTATAT